TTCCCTGCCATCTTTGTCCTTTTTACTTTGTGTTGTGCTGTTTCCTTGTTTTTAAATGTTTTTAGCATTTTGTAAAGTGCCCAGAGTCACTGGCAGTCGGGTGGCATATACCTTTAACAAATAAATAAAATAAAATAATTAAATTAAATTAAATTAAATTAAATTAAATTAAATTAAATTAAATTAAAATATATAGTAATGGTGCCTTCATTTTAAGCAGTGACTGTCTCACCGTCTAGACCAGTGTTTCTCAACCTCAGCCAGCATGCTTGCTGGGGAATTCTGGGAGTTGAAATCCACACACCTTAAACTTGCTGAGGTTGAAAAACTCTGGTCTAACAGATTGGTTGTGGCTAGCTCTTCCCATGTAGGTGTAATGATTGGTTCCCAGAGTGATAAGGGTTCGGGAGACCATTATGTAAGGAGCCCCCTGCAAGCTTCTCCCTTATTAGTGAACAGAGTCGCCTCCTTGCCGGATCACGGGAAGGCTGTTATGAGAATCAGAAGGTCTCTGCCCTGGGCGATATTGATTCCAAAGAGGAAATAGTCCAATTGCTGGGATTCTTGTAACTCCCCCCCACTCAAACGCCCTCTCCATAAATCTTGCTAAAGGGAACTTGGAGAATCATGCTTGCAAAGGCTCGCTTTCAGTTTTGGGCATCAGGTTTTGTTTCTCCTCCTCCAGGTGAGCCATCACCCCCCGGCGGCAGCTCATCACGTCTATTCCCGGCGAGGCTGGACGCTGTGGCAGGAGATCACCATTGCCAGCAAGTTCCGAGGCAAATACCTTTCCATCATGCCGCTGGGTAAGTAAAAGGCCTCCTCTCCACGTGGAACCCTCTTGGCTGCGTTCTTGCATGGCCCCGAGCACGGGGTGCTGAATAAATCCAATCTCTGGATTCATGTAGCACTTTAAATCATTAAAAAAAAAGTCCAGGGGCTCATTCACACAACATGGTGGTCTGATGCAGTGGGTGAATCCAGCCTGTTTCCTTGGGCTGAGGTGGAGTTTGGGAGGGCATTGAAGACGGCTGCTTCATTTCATATGTTCTGTGCATCTGGACAGAAGCTCTGGGCCTTGGGCAGCCTGATCCTGCACCCTTTTTAAAGACAAGCAGCCTGGGATGGTGGGGTGGCCAAGAGAACAGCCCCTCCTTTGCGTTGTCTGCTACAAGGTCTGCTAGATCTGACTTAATATTTAAGCCACATCCCAGACAAGGAAGGAGCAGGGACCGTCCTGTTCTCGGCGGCGTTTCTCTTTGCGCCATGCTTGACTAGCTGCTTTCTCCTCTTCCATGCAGGTGCCATCCACCTAGAATTCCACTCGAGCGGCAACCACTACGTCTGGCGGAAAGTGACGTCCACGGTTCACAATATTATTGTGGGAAAGCTCTGGATTGACCAGGTTAGGAGAATGGGTCCCCTCCTGCAGGATTGCTCAAATCGTTCGGTAGAGAAAGCAACACGGTCAGCGATGGCCCTGCAGATGAGGAGAGGTTCAGTTACAGAGACAGTAGCAAGAGGGATTTATCAGCGGGAGCAAAGAATGGAGCTCCTATTGAGAAGCGATGAAATGGGCTTGCATGATATATACATCTCCTGGTGCAAAACGGCTTTGGCATTCAGACAAATATTTGATTTTGTTCCCGTGCTATACGTAAACCAAAATAAGATCCAAGTCTTGCAGCTGATAGGAATACAAAGTAAGGGTAGGAAGGGGTTGGGATGTCAAGTAAATTGACAGTGAGCATTCTCCCTCTGTTCAGGGTGGGGTGGTCAGGAAGAAATGAAGAAACTACTTTTCTTAATTCTTGATTCTGGTTTCTGTCGACATGGACAATTAACCCCTCCGCAAATTCTCTCTCTTTTGTCCAGTCTGGTGACATAGAAATCCTCAACCATAAATCAAAAGACAAATGCCAGCTGAAATTCACACCCTACAGTTACTTCTCCAGAGACGTCCCCCGAAAGGTAACCCTTCCCCTGCACCCCAAAGGCACAATATTATTTATTGTCGCAGTAGCTGATGCCAAGGACACTCCACCGTGGATCAACACAAACTCTCGCGTTCATGGAAAAGCAAGATTAGGATTTTCTCCAAATAAACTTTAAATATGGGGTGGTGATAGGTGTTAGATTCACTAAGACTATACTAATGCCATAGGTGTAATCACCATCACTGGCCTATTGCAATAACAAGTCAACTGTGGGAGGCCCCGGCCTGTAGCACTGCTTGGCCAAGAGATGGAGGAGCAAGAATGTCACCATGCCTCTCCTGCAACTTCACAGATAAGATTGCTTTTCGCCCTTGAGCACTGCTGGATTCTCTAACGGCTTTCTCAGTTCGTGCAATCAACCCAGAGAGAACAGTGACCTTGAATCGCTACCCGCAAGGCTTCTAGGTTTGGGATCAGCCAGGAGAAGCTGGATGGGTGCTGTGGAAAGTGAGGAAGACGACCTTGATGGAGATATGTAGGCTCTGTTGCCTAAGCATTTTTTACGTGCAGAATGTCCAGATAACATTTGGAAGTGGCTCAGAGAGACACCTCCCTAATTCACTGAGCAGTGTTTCTCAACCTTGGCAGCTTGAAGATGTGTGGACTTCAACTCCCAGAAT